AACTCCCTTCCTATCACATGCTTCCTTGACAACTATAATCTTCAAATATTCAAATGTAATGTCAATCGACATCTTCTAATGCCTTGATCTTGATCCCTGTCTTTCTCTTTATCCTTTCCTCGAAAACCCTTTTTTATTCTCATTCTCTGTAACCCCATGCGTGCTAGTGGCACTCCCGCATTGCTTATGGTGATTTGCTTAAAAAAAAGTTGTCTTACGGCTATTCTCTGCGATAGACTTTACTCCAAGGAAGTGTACGAAAATTTTAACGCTGCACGAACACACTGGTAAGCCCTACTAGTAAGCAAATTAAAGTACTATAGACTGAACTGAAAACTCTTATAATTTAAATCCAATCAAGAATCTGTGTTCAACCTGCATGGAACGACTTTGTGGAATGGACATATGAAGTACTAATATGTGTACTGGGTCATGTTTCATTGGAAAAATACGGAAAAAAATAAATAATAAGGAATTATTCGTTTTGTTTCAATGAATTTGCACAAAGGTGTACATTATTTGTCTAATGCAAACATAGGAAAACTGTGGTCTGTCGTCCCCATGCGGCCTGACTAGCATTCTGAATGGTACGCTTAATTAAATGAGAAAAATGACTTTCTACGTTGTTTTCACTTGTTCACTCACATTTTCTCTTACATAACGAGATACATAACAATACTATGTTTATTGAATTTCATAACGATTCACTAAATTGGCGACTGAATAAGACTACCAGGTGCTGTAAGCCCCTACCAACACATATTAGGCCAACGCTGTAGGATAATAACTCATTACTCCCCATGGACTGGAAAACTGGAAAGATTTGGAGAAGGCCTACGACCAACAAAGGACATTTACAAGCTGATTAAGTTAAGACATGACCAACATTTGTCAATTTTAACTCTTTTCGAATTTTATTGGGCATTTTTCGAAGATGGTTTAATGTCGCTTTGTTTTGTCTTATTGGTGTTTAAAAATTCTTGGTCTACTTATTGCTGTTAAAATTATTAATGTAAGTAAATGACTGACAGCTCGTTACTGAGTGTGCCCGTATTCTAAGTAGGTTATCTGATTACTGTTGAAGAGGTTTACTGAAAGACAATTGTGTTTCTTCAACGGCTGCAAAGCCATACTAAGATTTATAGTCCGAAGCAGACCTTTTTAAAGAACAAGACTTGTTACATAGGATATTTTTTATTTTGATATTAAAATGGTTATAATGAATAAGGTTTGTGATGAACGAAAAAGTAAGTGGTAGGTGGTGAAGATCATGAGGATCAGGAACAAGTTGCACTACTTGGGAAAAAAGTTGCTTGAGAAGAACTTTCTCTTTACAGTTAGAATATGGGGGAAACGCCGGTGATTTGACTACGTAGACGTTGCATACAATGTTAGAGCTGTCAAGGCCCAAATAGAGAATAGAGCTCATCTGAACCGTGACAGTATAGCGCTAGGCTTACGAAATTTCGTCTCTGTAAAAGGTGGATTGTTCAGTGGATACAATTGGATGACCCTTAATTAGAGATTCTGCGAGGAAACACATAATTTCTGCGAGGGAACACATACTTTCTCTTGTTACTTTGCGCTAGCAAATCGATTGACCACTTCCAAAAAGTTTTGCCTAACCAATCTCATTCGAAAGATCTGCGCCAAACCGTTGGATGGTTTTCAGAAACGTCCTAACGATATAGCACGCTGGAATCGTCTCCCCCAAGCCAATATTATCAAGAAAACACAACATTATCAGATCGACCATGTTGATCCGGTTCATGGTCAGTACTTTAACGGCCTAACCATCCACCCAACAATTATCAGAATAATGGCAACTGTCATGATATTTTTCGGTCTGTGAATATGTCATGTTGAAATACCGGGTCTCGTACGGTCACCGAAGTTAGGCAACGTCGAGCCTGTTCAGTAGCTAGATGGGTACCCGTTTAGGAATATCAGGTGCTGTGACCTTAGATGTGTAAGTGCTGGAATAACGGATCAAGTTACCATTCGTGTCTGGTTCATTATATTCATTTACGCACAAGTAAACTTGGGAAGGATACGAAACAACCTCTTCTCCGCCTAGATATGGGTTAAATAGTAAGATTTGTATCAGTAAATCATTATTATCTCCAAAAGATTCCTGAAACCTAAGAATATTTTCTGATTTTAAATAATCTACAAAAGGTAGATAAACCGTAAAAAATAAATTAACAGAAAATGACTAAGGTCATGCATTCCTTTTATCGTTGCATTTCATTTTTTTATACAAAATTTTTAATTATTTTACAAGTGCACAAAAACTACAGGCCAAAGCCTTGCGGACTTCCTCTGGGATTTTTATAAATATTACGTTTCATAATGTTGATAATAGACACAAAAAAGAAAACTCCCACAGAAGGTAATGAAAGAAAGCGTGAAGAAAAGACTAAGCATCAATTGCAAAAAGACATAATGCCTGATTATAAGTAAAATGAATAGCAAATTACAGATTGATGATACCAAAATCGAACAAGTAGAACAATTTAAATAACTGGCCTGAGGACGGAAAGTGTGACAATGAAATCCGAGGGCGCATTGGCATAGCGAAATATGCTTCCAAAACCTAAGTAACGTATTAAGAAACAGGAAAATTTCGTGAGAAACAAAGAAAAGAGCACTGAAATCTTACGTAATATCAGTCCTCCTATATGGCAGTGAATTCTGGTCAATCTGCAGAATGAGACTAAAAACAAAATGTGGCTCTCCCGAAGGATACTGAGAATGCCATGGACCGAACATATGAGCAACAACGAAGTTTTAGAGAAAATGGAAACAAAAAGGAAACCTACTTAACATCAGTAAGTGACAGTTCAAATTTGTACGGTGCATAATAAGGAAAGAGGGTTTGGAAAATTTGAAACTCACAAGAAAAATTGAAACCAAGACAGACAGAGGAAAACAACAAATAAACTACCTAGAGACCTTGTGTAAATTGATTGCAGAATATGCTTTAGGAGAGATAACAAAAATAAGTAGCTAGAATGCTCTTCAACTATTAAACCAATTAGTGCATGATGACCCATAAATTGTTGATATGCCTTTAAAAATAAAAATAATTAAAGAGGTGTTCACCCAAAATATAAAATCTACCTGTACGAAGACTACCGCTGGTTAGCACGGCAGATAAGACAATTAAAGCTAAATAATTATAGTTCAGATTTAGCCGATTCTTCGAAATGCAGAGGGTACCCCCGAAACATTTGACCAATAGTGTATAATTCTTATTGGTAAATGTTAACATTACTGCCTTGTGATCGAGAACCGATACCAAAAAAATAGATATCCAATATCTTGAATATTCATTTTATACAACTACGTAGATATGAACAGATAAAGGGATAAACTTAGTTTTCGTAAAAGATCATAAATGAAAGGCATTCAAATTGCTTCGAACGTAGTCGTAATTTTCTGTGAAGCCATGTATGTAACCCTACGAGATCCTAGATAGATACAAAGAGAGATTGCTGCATAAATATGTATGTATGTGTGACCATGTTTCTAGAACGGACCTTCGAACTTTTGAAAGTTGCAGCTGCAAATCGAAATTGCGGAAATGTATGTCGATTAGGTGAACTCATGCGGTCGCTTTCAGAAGACGATGCGCGATTTTTTCGAGCGTGGCGCTAGCTGTCTGCATTTCGTTCGGCTTGATTCGTTCGCCTCTTATCCTCTGTGCAAAGACTCTTAATTATTGACATCGAACACAGTTATTCACGCGAAGAACATTAGTAAACATCCAACTATACACAGAAGGATGCACAAACACAAATATTCAGCATCTTAACTTAGCTCTCTTCTCGTAAACGTATATCTTCTTCTTCTTCACTATGTCGTATCCAGTCAAGATGTTGGTTATCACGGCTCTCCACAATTTCCTGTCCTTTTTAGTTCTTAGTAAATTTTGTCCTTATGCTATCTCTAATAAACTCCGATCTGCCGACCATTTTCTAAACCACGTTAGGGAGATTATGCGTTGTTTTGACTCTGTTAATCTTGCCTTCAATTTGTCCTGTGAGTGTCTGTCTTTCCAAGCAATGTTTCCTCTTTATAGGCTTTAGAAATATCAACAATATCTTTCTGGTGTTAATTATAAGTGTCTCTTTTTTTTCTTTTTCTCTAGAATTTTCGTTTTTGACCATGTGTTCGGCCCACGTAATTCTGAACATCCTTCTGTAGAATGACAAGTGCCTCAAGTATTCATTTCATCTGTGAAGAAATTGTTCAACCTTCACTATATAGGAGGACGGACTTTATATGACAGTTCAGTACGGTTTTCTTTGTTTCTAATGACATTTTCCTGTTTCTCAATACTTTGTTTAACTTTTGGAAGGCATCTTGATTCCAATACGTTTTCGGATTTCGGAAGGTTTCGTAATATTTTTAACTTATTTGTAAAGTTTTCCTTCATTCGAACCCTTTTTTGAAAAACTCATCCCCATATTTGCTCCATCTCTCTTTATTTAAATTTTCCACGTATTAAGTACATATTGCTTCTTGTGTATTTCTCGTGTTGTTCCGATTATTGAAATAGCAAATGACGCGCTGATACGTCAATATTAGTCACACTTACGCAAGAAATCCACCATTTTTTCAAAACTAAATCGCTTTCAAATAACAAATTTTCTTCTTTTTTTAAGCATTTCATACCAAGCAAGGCGGGAATACCACTAGTACGCAGGGGGTTACATATAGTGTAATTGAAAAAAGACTGAGTATCGGGAGGATTGAAAAAAAGGACAAAAGGTGAACAGGATTCAAGAAGATAGAAAATGGCGATTAACGTTTCTATTTAAATTTTTATAGATTATACTTATCAGTGAAGCAAGTAAACGGAAGGGAATTCCACAGGCGGGAAGTGCGAGAAAAGAAACTGTTGGAGTAGAAGTGGTGGGATCTCGATGTCAATCTAGTAGCACGCTTAAATTCATATAGTTGAGGCACCTGTCTACTACCGCTTTAGTCTTACTGCCATATCCCGTTGAAACACCTGTTTCCATACGATCACCAAAGTTAAGCAACGCCGGACCTGTTCAGTATGTAGTGGTGTGACCGCTTGGGAATACCAGGTACTCAGTGGTGTCATGACTAATAGCTCAGAATTGACAATCGGAGCGCCAATTTCTAATTCCAGTCGGGTTCGTTATATTCACTTACGTACAAATATGCTATTTGAAAGGTATGAATACAAATTTCCTCCCCAATCTATGGCTTAATTAGTTAATCAGTAAAATTCTTATCGCCCCGCAAAAAATTTATACAATCTAAAAATATTTTTCTGCATTTAAATAACCTGAAAATTGCTCATCTTGTATTCTTAGCCTCATTCTGTAGAATCACATCATGTGTCTTCTTCATCTGTTAGGAGATTGTCCAGCATTCACTGCAATATAGAAGAACTGATATTAGATAATAGTTCAGTAATCTTTTCTTTCTAAGGAAATTTTCCTGTTTCTTAATACTTTGCTTAACATTTTGAAGTCCTCTTCCACGATCCCAATGTTCATTCGGATTTCGATGCCGCATTCTCCGTTAAAACTCTTCTCAGTTATTGAAATATTTGCTTGACTTTGGTATTTCTAACATGTAATTCGCATAACGAGCTGTTCGTTTTGTTGACAAATTTTAGTTTCTAGTGGGGAGAATGCAACACTTGGTATCAACAAATTGAGCAAGACTAGTATGCTCAAACTTGAGGTACAAATGTTCAACTGTCCAATTTAACCAATTTATCTTCCAAGGCTTAGTTTTCAGTCATTTTCCAAAGGTACTTCACGCTTGGATCTCCTCCTCCAAGTCGATATTAACAAGATAAACGCATTAGTAGACAAGATAGTAGCAGGTTTTATTGAAATTTTATTTAAGTTTCCACATATCCTCCATCATTAGCAATACAAAGAGTAATACGATTTTGCAGTTCACGGAAAACATTTGCCAACTGATTTAATGCCTGAAATCACATTAGTTATTTTAGCGATACTAAAAACTAGGTACATTAAAATTTATAACATTTTTTACAAATTATTTCTATCGCAAATACAAATAAAGTTTAAAATTTTTTAAAGTGCACACGAACTCTATGGATACCTTTTATATATATATATATATATATATATATATATATATATATATATATATATTATGAAATGGACAAAGTTCGATAATTATTTAAAGACATTTTATGTTTAACATACTAAAATACTTGTATCGATAAAAAGAATGTTAAGCATAAAAAATGTTTTATATATATATATATATATATATATATATATATATATATATAAAATTGAAATAACTGGGAAGTGTTTTAACGAACAATCAGATATCGAAATCCGAAGGCGGATTGGGATCGTGGAAGAGACCTTCCAAATGTTAAGCAAAGTATTAAGAATTAAGAAACAGGAAAATTTCGTGAGAAAGAAAGAAAAGATTACTGAACTTACCTAATCTCAGTCTTCCTAAATTGAAGTGAATGCTGGACAGTCTCCTCACAGATGAAGAGACATGAAGCAACATGATGTGTTTCTACACACACATATATATATATATATATATAAACACATCATGTCCTTCATATATATATATATATACACACACACACACACATATATATATATATACATTAAGAAATGGACAAAAGTCCGACAATTTATTAAAGACATATATATATATATATATATATATATATATATATATATATATATATATATATATATATATATATATATATATATATATATATATATATATATATATATATATATATATATATATATATATACACACACTCGAGGTAGTGTAATGGTTACAAGCTTGTCCCGTTAGAACAATTGCGACTGAGTATTGAGTTCCAACCACATCTAAGCTATGCTTGGAAAATCACTTTGGGCACCTCGAGATGGTGTAATGGTTAGCAAGCTTGTCTCGCTAGAAAAAATACGACTTAGTAGTGAGTTCACTGGGTGACCCCTTATTTCGGCCTTGTGCCACATCTAAGCTAGGCTTGGAAAATCAATATATATATATATATACCCAGAGCGAGGCATGGCTGCGATGCTGATTATCGAGATAGGCGTACATGGTATTATATACCATGTGATTTCGTGCCGAAATGAGGGCTCCAGGAATCCAGCGCTGTGCTGAAATTCGCTTAGTCTAATAAATATCTATTTATCATATTCGTTGCTTCACTTAGTGAACTGAACGTCGGGTAGTCGGTCGAAAATGTGGAACGTGGCGTCAATGAAACTGGGCCTTTGTTTGTTGCTTATCTGATGCCTTGGTGCAGAAGTTCGATTTTTATTCCCGTGGAATCATTACTGGCAACCATGAACAAATTATCGATTGAATCCTGATCAGCAACACACAGTGAGAAAACAATCGATAAAACTCGTAAAAGTCTCTCGGCTATTTTTCTACATACAATAGTTGACAAAAACAAAGCAATGTACGGAATTATTTTTATTTTCGGCGATTATTTAAGGACAAGTGTATTTTGGTTGAATCCAAACTTTATTAGATTTTTAATGAGTATGTAAAAAGTAGTTATATTGTTGCAGATAGATAGATAGATAGATAGATAGATAGATAGATAGATATGAACCAACTGAAATAGAAACATACGAAGAGATAGATAGATAGATATGAACCAACAGAAATAGAAACATACGAACAGATAGATAGATAGATAGATAGATAGATAGATAGATAGATAGATAGATAGATACATTCTTTTTTCTTACTTCAGAATACAGAAAGATAAAAGATGAAAATCTAAAGATATGACGATATATTTAGGTAAGTATGCTGCGTGAGGAAATGGCTAGTTGTCAAAAAACATCCCATGACTATGATAAGTGCTTATGTCCACCTCAGGAAATGTCTTCACGCTTGAGTATGATATGCAACACATATAAAAAAGTTAGCAAAATACGCACACAACCCACCGTAATTCTTGCAATGTTTTTTGCGAACTTTCGTGTTGTTTGGAAACCCTTTTTCACGTCTCCACCACGCACATGCGCAGGACTCCTAATACTGTATCCTATGCCTTTAAAACCGACTACTTTATAAAAGGCAACGGCTTATATTGCTAATGACATGCAATTTCCTTGAGTTAACCAAAACTGTAGCATTTAATAACGGTTTTATTTCATCTTGATGTGAAGATGAAATAAAACCTGACAGGACCTATGGCAATTAGCGTTAAGAACGATCATTCATTTCATACTGAATTATCTCCTCACTGCTTCTCTGTTTTTTCCGTAGTATGAATATAATTTGTTTGTTCCCACAGATTAATAAAAAAATTATTCTTTTTTCCCTTGATCATTATAATCTGTTCTCTTTATTAAAGACTAGTTGACGTACCCGGTAATTTCTGGGAAAGCGGATGTTATCCCCAGTTCCTGTTCTCATAGCTTTTCTTTCGTTATCCGAAAGTAATAATTCAAATAAAATATCACTGAAAAGAGCTTTTGTACGTTGACAGAGAATATACAACCGCCACTCTTATGATTTCTTGAGGAAATACAAATATTACGAATTCCAAAATCGTAAAGCGATTTATGTAGTAATAACCAAATCTGTTGTCTAAAAGTAACAATTTAAAGTATGTCACGCTGAAAATTTACAATAGGTGTACAAATAGAATGTCCTATAGTTTCAATAGACCTGCATATATATATATATATATATATATATATATATATATATATATATATAGATATATATATAGATATAGATATAGATAGATAGATAGATATTAGTGGAAATATACATACATATGCTAAATATATAAATACCCATACATGTATATTTTTAGAAAAAAAAAATTCAAGAGGAAGAATCCAGGTAGAACTCAATGTCTAGGACAGAGTAAGGATATAATAAAAAAGGCTTAAACACTAATATTCCATGGTCATAATTTATTCCATTGGAATCGTAAATACGATCCAATTCATCAGACCTACAAATTCAAAAAGAATATAGATAGATAGATAGATAGATAGATAGATAGATAGATAGATAGATAGATTTACAAATAGAATAACATAGATTAATAAAAGATTTACAACACTGAAAAATAGTAGAGTTAAATCATAAATACCTGATGATTGGATGTTTCTTATTAAGTTTGAAGAGCCTTTTGAAAAATAACATTTTTGGTCTTTCCGTGTGGGGTATAAATAAACAAATGATTGGGATTGCCGACTCTTGAACATCCCACATAAAGTTAGACTTGGAAGAAAACTGGTTCTGCAAGGGTAAGACCTATCACATGACTGTCCCTGAGTTTTGTTAATGCTGATTGAAAAACTCAGCTCCATCGGGAATTGCAGTCGCTTGAACTGAAAAGTAATATCTCAGGGAATAAGCTGAATTTTGGGGAATAAATACAGCCTCGCTGCTTGATTTGCCAGTCATGATTGTCGCCTCCAAGACTATTGGCATCATATTCTTAATTATAAGTCGTCTTTTATTGCAAAACTTCGGCGGATCCAGGTTTCTTAGTAACATCAGTGGTGCTCCAATCCTGAGCTGACTTTGTAGGCCGACCAAAATTTGAAAGGCTCACCCAAGCCACATGTTGTCAACATGATTGAAAATAGCTGGTGCAGTTTCTCTACTGACTGCTGTTTCCCACCAGTGTTTGATCCCAGTGGGCATCGTCCTCCAGTAGTCCATATTTGGCGCAGGCTTCTCTGTAGGTCGCACAGATTTCTCCATTATATCGCCACAGAACTGTGAAGGATGTAGGACATCTGACAATGTGCTTCAGCAGGCTAAGAAAGAAACACTTATGCTGATTGGGGTACACAGTGTACACCCGCCCGATGGTCTCGCTTCTGACCTCAACTTGTGCTCCTTGCTTGAGCCTGCTTCATCTATTGTGTGCCCAGGCGTAGTATACAGGGACTTCAAAATACAGCCGTGTTAGGGCGAACAGTTAACTTTAGCATAATTTGAAGAAAGCTATCAAAGTGATTTCTGGATTATTCTTAACTACGTTTCGAGCAGTATCTTCTGTGATATATACAAGCTGGCCATTTTCAAGATAAACAGCTAGATTC